GCAGCTTGAGGCCGTTTCCTCTTGTCCCATCCCTTGTTCCTTGGGAGCAGAGACCAGTCCCCTCCTGGCTCCATCCTCCTGTCAGGCAGTTGGAGAGAGCAGTAAGGTCCCCCCTGAGCCTTCTCTTCTCCAGACTAAACCCCCCAGGTCCCTCAGCCCTTCCTCATCACACTTGTGCTCCAGGCCCTGCACCAGCTCCATTGCACTTCTCTGGCCCCGCTCCAGCACCTCAGTGTCTCTTATAGTGAGGGGTCTGGATTCGAGGTGCAGCCTCACCAGTGCCCAGTGCAGGGGGACAGTCACTGCCCTGGTCCTGCTGTCGCACTGGTGCTGGTCCAGGCCAGGATGCTCTTGGCTACCTGTGCACGCTGCTGGCTCATACTCACAAAGCACTGTAGATGAAGACTACTCAACACGTCAGAACCATCAGAGAGACAGAAGCATAACGTGGGAGTGAGATGGAAGAAGTAAGAGCTTTCAACTCAGCTGCAGCGCTTTCCTTTAGGACTGGTACATCAGATTCCCAGCAACAAACCCCACTTTTCATTAATGCTGTTGGCTCCCAGGGCAAAACAAACCAATGGAACTAAAAAATAAACCCCACACTGAATGAAACCACTGGAAAACTGACTCCGAGGTCTTCAGAGACTACAATGGCTTCACAGCTGGCTTTTACTGTGGAAGAGGTATCACCCTTCAGAGGGGCTCCTGCTCCCACAGCTCAGCAGCTTCTTCAGCACTGCTCTAGGATTACTGAACCAGAAGGCTTTGCACTCCCTGATCAAACATATACTTACATAAAATGACTAGTGGGAGACATACATACCTGATTTTGTCACACGTGTTTATTAACTGGTGTAATGCTTACACGGTCCATAACGACAAAGTAAACAGGGACTGGTGCTTCTCAGCTTACGGAAACAGTGACTGCTGCATGTTCCTAGGAAAAAGATGGGGCTTTCTCTCTCCCCGCCTCCAAAAATCAATGAGAAGGGCCAAGTCCCAAACCTTTCCCAGCTATTGCAAATAAACCAGCTAAGCTGCTGAGCACATTGCCCCTTTCCTGGGTGTGATTCTTACATTTCAGGTTCTGATCACCTTTCTACACTCCTCTTCTGGTTTCTTCCAGAAATATGGGGTCATATTGTCCCACATCTTCCCACTGCTACAGATGTCCTGGGCAAAACAGGTAAAACACGGTGTAAACTACAACCCAAAGTGACACAAGATCAGCTCCTCCTACACCACGGCACAGAAATCTGTTTTGACTGTTTCTTAGCTGTGTGCAGCAGAGGAGGGTGATTTAGGACGAGAAGTTAGGAGAGTGCTTTGTAGAACTGATGCTCCCAGACTCAACACCAGGGGCACTGGGGCTTATCTGCAGATAAAGCAGAGACGTTTCTGAGCAGAAAAACAAAGGAAATCCATTATTTTAACGTTCCTCAACCGGTTCACTATAAACTTTCTAAGAGAGAACATTTGAGGCTGTTTCCACAGGTAAATCGTGTCTGAGCTCCCATAACAGAGAAAAGCAGCCCTTCCTCCCTCCCCTCCTGTTCCAAAGCTCTCCTCTCCTAGCTCTCTTTTCAACCTGAACTCCAAGCTGCCTTGAGCAGGAGCTTGGAAAGCCTGACTGAAGGGACCAATGCATAACAATCATGCTACACTATAAGAAGAATTCCCCCTCAGAGCTGTCTCTGTTACAGGAGCAGTAACACCGAGTCCTTAAGAATCCTGAGGCCCAGAAGAAAAATAAAGCAATAAAAGCTCCTTTCATTAGTTTAAGGTTGTCCCACTATGCAGAGCAAACACCCCCCGAAGCAGGGTTTGCTTAACACCTACAGACAGTAAAATAACCCTGGTTTTAATTATGGACAAACCCTTATACCTCAGCCAGGTTATAAACCTCTGAGAACAACAAAAGTTGACCAGAATTAAATGTCTCAAGCTCCCCAAGTCCCCTCTTGCCCCTTCCTGCTCCCTTTATCATTTCAAGTATCATTAACCTTGCAAGGTAAGCGTTTCTACAACAAGCACCTTTCCTTACTGCAATGAAACATTCACCAGGAAGTTCACCTTGAAGTCATGCAGGATCACAGTCCTTCGCAGCCAAAGTAACACTTGGGAAAGTTTAATACAAACCCAAAGGAAGGTCACAGTAAACTTACACGCTCCGAAACACCTCAGAACAGCAAAAGCACTTAAATGAAGAGCTTGGCATCCTGTCTGCAGTCCTGGTTAGTGACTGCAAGAAAGGAAATGGAACTACTAGAAGTAGTAGTGCTTCTATTGAATTCTAACTTGCAATGTCACTAGACCAGCCCCCGGAGCAGTGAATACTCCGGCTATACCAGCCCCTTCGGCAGTAACTCTTCCGGCAACCAGCAAGTGCTTGGAGCACTCAGAGGATTAACATACAGACAGTATTGGGTGTTCGCCATTCCCAGGGTGTTCCTCTCTCCTGGTTACTTCTTGCCATGCACTGAATAGCATGACCTGGAGATGTGTCACCTGGAACAGACACCAGCCTTTTCTAAGCACCACTGTCTGTGAAACCACGTCAGGGGACAAAGTTCCTTCTGTGCATGCAAAATTACCCTGACAGACACGAGTCATTGCATTTTTCCTCTTTAAACACTGAGTTTCACCCCTTATTAGTCAAGCCCAGCATCTTTAATAGCTTCTCTTTGTGCTGAGTAGCTCCTCTGTGTTTGCTTTCTCTTCTGCTTTCTCCCATTAGTCATTCACTTTCCATGTAATGACAGATGTGGCTCTAAAGTGTGTCAACACTTACCACTTACAAAGGCATACATTAAGGGATTTGTTAATACACTAGCAAACAGTCTGATGTAGAAGTTGTCTGTAGCACCTTTGCTGGCCACTTTCATGTATGTATACACACAAATATACACACATACATATATATACACACCAACTTCAGCTAGTAATTCTAGTGCGAGTTGAAGCTGCTAGCACAGGCCTGGCTTTAATCTTTGCATCAGTTGTAAATAAACACCTTCCCTTTCACATTCTCTGCCTTCCCACAGCACTGCAATGTCAAAAGCTTTAGTATTCCTGCACTCAGTGTAGCTTCTTTGCTCACCCTCCTATTTAATGTGGTCACGGGCAGGGAGGTTACTACGCCCAGCTGTGTAGCAGGGGATTAGCAGCCCAACACACTTGCCACCAGCGGCACACAATCAGTGTGTCAGTCCATCTGCAATTGCTCTGTATGAAAATCAGCTGCATTTGAGATAACACACAACTGAGATAACAGAGAGAACATCTACTCACAGCCTGTTCCCTTCCTTACCTACAGAAGAACCTCCATGTGCTTAATTGCTCCAATAAAAGCAGCACCAATTTCTGCAGAGTTTATGTACCTTTACCTTACATCAGACACGAACAACTGAACCCCGTTGTGGTGCTGTAATGGCAGTGGTTTCCCTGGCACCGGGCTGGTTCAGGGTCATGTAATCGCTCTGCTTTGTGCT